ATGGAAGTAGTTAATGGTGTTGGGCAGTCCTGCTAGAGCTGGAGATACTTAAATATATTCTTGCCAAATAGAGGTTGGGAAATTAAATGGATCTTGGTAAACATAAACTGCACAGCAGCATTGTTGGGAATGCATCCTGTTTTAAGTGGTCATCAAGTTACACCAGAGCCACGTGGAGAAGATTCAGATCCAGAAGAGAGCAGGGAGCCAGATATTATCCCGTATCCCAGGAGCGTCACTGTAAGTCCTCCGTGGCTGAGGTGAAATATGAGGAACTATAGGCATGCAGGGCTCTTTCTTTTCCACCAGCCCTGCCAAAACCTAAACGAGATGTTGGGAAATGAAGATGACATAAAGAGCAAAATAAGATATTTTAAATTGTAAAGGTTTGTTTCCAGAATCTTTAGTTTGAAATAGCTAAAAAGTACAATKTTATAGTCAGGTAGGAAAGACGGGAAGTTAATTGAAGACCCTGGAGTCACTGCTGATTTACACTCTTGATTAACCATTGCTGATGTCTTCTTTGTAAAAGATGGATCCAGTCAACAGGAGGACTTCAGTTCTTAATCTCTTGTAGATCCTGACTTCAAATTTTCTAGGATTTGGGAATAATTCAGTGGCCTCCTTAAAAATTAAGGGGAATCATTATTGATTCTGCCTAAAGCCCAATTACTTTTTTGTCAAGAAGTCATGGAAAATGAGAACAAAYTGAACACAAGCACTGGGGACTGAGTGAACATCCATTTACATTCTGTACCATGCAAAAATGGTTGGTTGACTAAGTTGACTAAGGCTGGTTTTAGTAAACCTTATTTTTCATTTAAGTTTATAAATGTTGCCATGGTCATTTACTTGTTATCTGCATTATTTCTTTCTGTGTGGAAAACCAAATGCTTCTAGATTTTAGAATCATCAAACATTTCACTGATAATTTTGCTGGAGAATGTTAATTGAATAGGAACATATTTGCTACTTTTGTCCAGAAAATGCAACATCTTTTACTAAAAGCCTACAGACTTTTCCTGCTAATATCAGGTTTAGCAACAAGTTTAACAATGTTAAACTATACAGACTTTAATTTCACTGTAATGCAAAAGGAAATATTAATGCTTACACAGAATTTTATAGCAACATCAGATGCATAGAACATAAATTCAAGAAAAAATACAGGAGCAATTTCTTTTATGGTAGTAGCCACAGAGGTGCGAAGCTGTTAGTTGTCAAATGTAGTAAGAGCCACCGGGCAGTCATGGGACTTTTTCCTCTCTCCTGACAGTGACTCACTGAGCCTAAAGTTAAATAAATTTCATATGCAATGGCACATGAGCTGCAGTTTGTTTGACCTTAAGAATTTGTAATGTATTTGCTACTGCTAGCTATGAGATAATTACCTTAGAACCTACGTATTTTCCATTTAAGCTCTTCGCTGCTGTGGTGTTTGGGATTTGTCCAAGAAATTCAGCCCTTAGCCTGTGGAAAATACAGCATAAATATTCAAGAAGGGCTCAGCTCTCCCAGAGCAAAGTCTCCGTTAATGTCAGAGCGGCTCTGCTAAGGCTCAGGCACACTTGTGCCAAGGAGACCCCTTACTGTTACCTGTTATTTATTGTATTATATACCTGTCGTGAGAAGGGAGAATGAATTTCAGACAATTATTTCTGTGGCAGAGGAAAAAGCCAGCTGACAATCTTCCGAATTTTTGCATGCAGAAAGAGCATTGATGTGCTGGACCTGGCTTTGCCCATGCCCTGCACATTGTGCATGTGGTGGTACATAGAGCAAGGAATGTGGCCTTGGCCTCTGCACGTGCCACATCATGGCCCAGCCTTTCCCCACAGCGTGGCCCGCTGTGTGGTGCCCACCGTGCCGGGTGCTGGCTGGAGAACTTCGTTTCCCAGCACTTTTTCAGTAATTGCAGAGCTAACTTGCAAGGTGCTGATACTGGCACCACCAGGGCTGAGTTGCAGCTACAAGATGTGTGACGTCTTGTGTGCAGTTGATGTGTTTTTTTCTCACTTGAATGCAATGCTTTTGGGGCGCAGCAAGTCAGCTACAGACACACTTTAATAATCAGAGCAAAAATCAGGCAGGGAGGATTGTGGTGATAGATTAACATCCACCGAACTCATGTCACAGGTAAAATTATAATTCTTATATATCTGTCTGAAGTGAAAACTGTAAATAAGTACCTTTCTTTCTGCCCTACACAGTTACAGAGGGTTGTGTATCACCGTCAGTGAGCACTGATTATTTTGAGCGTGTGTGTATGCGAGTTGAAATAAAAGCAATCTGTTGTTGTGTGACTCAGTTGATAATGGTTAAGTTTTAGCTGCATTAAGGTGAGATTATGAGAAGATCAGAGTGGAGCTGTTGCTCTATGAGAAGGACCATTGGGGGGTTGTAGATTAGCCTGGGACACTCTGGTCCCACTGGGCTGYCTGTGTGATCCCTGTCAAGTCTCTTTTATCTTTGCCTGTGTTTAAACTGGGGAATTGAGGAACTCTTTCAAGATCCTGATCAGGAGTTTGCCCCAATGCCATAATAAGGGGGGGATTTATCAGATTTCCATTAGACAATCTRGTGTTCTTGGAAATAAAATTTTCCGTGGCACCAGGTACAGGTTACAGCTCCCCTGACAAGACGTGATATGGAAGGCAGGACCACAGGGGTTACAAAACAGATCAATTTAGTTTCTGCTTCTGTTTCTGCTCTTGGCCTGTAACAGAGCACCTACTCCAAAGGTTGTGCTTCTACAAGAGTAAAAAGTCAGTGATTAGTCATAATAAAAGGTTGCTTGGGTTGCATCTTGGTTGTGTTGGAGAATGTGATTGGCATCCACAGAACTCATATTACCTCTAGAACTGTCTCTGCCGAGATCTTGGTATTTGAAGATGGTGGSATGGCTGCTTTCAGCACTATGATTTCTCCTTGGTTAAATGTAGAAGTAGGGTTTTACTGATGTGAGAAGTTATGTCTCCTTCCTAAGCTTTCCTAGTCTGTAAAGAGCTGAGATGCACAATCTGCTTTTGCTGCAGACGAGCAGCATGCACAGGTGATGACAGCAGACCTGCTGGTATGTGGTAGCTCACTCCTCGGTGCTCTCCTGGCTCCGGTGGGTGTTATGGATCACTATGTTGCTCCCACGCTGTCAGATACCTACATAACTGCAGCCCTCTCACAGAGTAATTTCCTGGAGGATCAGGCTGGATTCTCAGTCCAAACTGACTCAACTGCTAGTGTGACTGGCAAGAAAGCCTGACCCATCATCTTTACCATTTCTCACTTGTATTGGGGAGAAGCAGAGCAGGGACAAGGAGAGCACAGTGTTGCTACGGGGCTGTGTTCTCTGCTTNATTCCCTTTGCAGATTAAGAAAAGATGCCGTAACATAAATGATTGACTGAGTATCACCGCCGTGTTGTGACAGGCTGTCTTCCAGGAAACGGTGATTGATGACATGTTTAAAACCAAGTCATTATATGTGCTGTTGATATAGAAGCCCTATTTAAAACGTGGGCTGTCAGTCACACTGCTGATTACTTACACAGCGCTATAATCACTGTGCTGACACAGGTACTGTAGTAAATGTTTGTTCTGAGCTTGAGGCGGCTTTCACTTGTTATTTCCAGCCTCCACCTAGCCGTAATAAAAGCTTCTATTTTATGCACTGCCAAAAGCAGGAGACCTCAGTGGCCTGACATGAGCTGGGCCTGGCTGTGGAAGCAGGGGGAAGTTCACCTGGTCTCATACACCTTTGTGGTGTGTTTGTGGGGTGGCAAATGAATGGCAGGTTTTACTGCGGCAACTTGCTTTTTTTACCTCTTCTGCTTATTAGGTGGAAAAGAGAAGAGGAAAGTTCCCTTAACAATTACACAAAACACTCAAATCATCAAAATTTTCATTCTTCTTATTCTGTTCATTGTTTTCTAAAGCCATTAAGGTTTGTCACATTCACAAGGACAGTTTTGCCCTGCGCTGCAAGTTGTATCCTTGTGCAGATGGATAGTTGTACACACCAAGAAAATAGTCCTTAAGTATACACAACACTTACACATAAGCACCTTTTCCTTTCTATGCCCCTCAATATCAGCCAGAAAATCTCTTGTGATTAAGAATCTTAATAGTAACATCTGAATATTAATCAAGAGCTGCAGTTCGATGTGCCAAAGATAATAATGACCTTTGAGTACAGCGTTATAGAGCAATATAAAGCTTTTTCCAGAATGTGTTTTTTCTGAAAAATGAAAAGTAATGGTCCCATCTGCACTTCCACTGTCACAACACAACCTGATCATGTAGAGAAGCTGTATAACCATGTTAGGTAGCAATGTTTCTTCTTTAATTTCTTCTATATTGAAATAGAAGGTTATCTATCTTCAAAGGTTATCTATCATTTTTACTCTGGTACATGTGTAAATTAAACATTATACTGTAGTACTTCTACCTGCCAACCTTGTTAGGCTGTCCTGCATTATTTTGTGCTATATATTTCTGTCTATATTTATTTAGTCTTCAAAAAAAGGGAGTCTGATTAAAGATAATCCTTAATTTTATAAATATGATGCKTTATTTATTTTTTTGTAAACAAACAAACAAAAAATGGAACCAGTACCACAAATGAAGCACTCTGAGCAGGTTATTTCTTGGACTGGGCCCTGCACATGGCACTGGAATCCACAGATCCTATCTTGCAATTGTTCTAATAAGCAGATTGCTTCTAATCCCACAAATCTCCATGCACAGAAGTATGCCCCAGTGTTACAATGAACTCATTTTGACTGTTTTTTTTTCGCCATATTCTAGTCAGATCATTTGTGAAACTGAAGTTGGCATTTCAGCCATGTGACAGGTATGTGATGATGTCTTCCAGTGCTCTTTGTGAAATTAATCTCTATTTCCTTTCTCTTTCCTTTTCAAGGAAATGTATTCAGACAACGGGCATGTTCCCCCAAACTCACTTCTTTTGCCTTTATCCCGCTTTTTCCCCCCTCCCCGCTCCAGACCAGGACGARAGGGCGGCGGAGCTGAGCAGGGAGCAGAACGAGAAGACCATCCGGAGCACGCAGACGGCGCTCCGCAACTTCCGCGAGTTCCTCATCTCCAAGTACCCCTCGGAGACGCGCGAGATCTACGTGATCCCCTGCAAGGAGCTCGACGCCTACCTCGCTTCCTTCTTTGTGGACGCCAGGCAGAAGGATGGCTCTGAGTACGAGCCCAACAGCCTGGCCAACTACCAGTGCGGGCTGGAGCGCTACCTCAAGGAGCACAGGTATGGGTACAGCATCACCAGGGATAAGGAGTTCAAGCGGTCCCAGGAAGCCCTGAAGCAAAAGCAGATAGAGCTGAGGTGCAAGGGTAAGGGCAACAAGCCACACAAGTCCATGAAGCTCACCTTTGCTGATGAGCTGATCCTGCGCAAGAGGGGTTTGTTGAGCCGGTACAATCCCGAAGGGCTCCTGAACCTCGTGTGGCTCAACAACACCAAGGCGTTTGGGCACTGCACGGGCTTCCACGGCTCCACCCTCAAGTGGGGAGACATCCGCCTCCGCGTGACGGAGACCGGGCTGGAGTACCTGGAGTGGATGGGGCCGGACAACGGCGACGCCAAYGCCAAGAGCAAGCGCGGCGGGACGGACTCGCGCGTCTACGCCACGCAGCACTCCCCGCAGACCTGCCCCGTGCAGGACTACAAGGAGTACGCGCAGCGGCGGCCCCCGGCCATGCGCTACGAGGACGCCCCTTTCTACCTGTCCATCAAGCCCGTTGTCAACCTGGCCGCGCTGCACTGGTACAACTGCCAGGCCCTGGGGAAAAACAAGCTGGCCAAGATGGTGAAGACCATGTGCGAGAAGGGCAACATCCCCGGCAGGAAGACCAACTTCAGCGTCTACCAGAGCTGCAGCACCCTCTCGGAAGCACAGAGCAACCAGCTGGTGCTCATCTGTAACAACCTGAGCCAGCAGGCTGCCCAGTCCATGGCAAGCCACTCCAATGCCGGCAACTTCATAGTGTCAGCTTCCTACGACTCTTCCTCCGACACGGCCTGAGGGAGGGATATAAGCCCAACAGTTCCTTCCTTCCCAAGCGTTGAGTTTGTGCCCACTAACACACATCAACTGTGATCGTACGCTGTTCCCCGCCGCCTCTCCCAGTCCTCTCAAGTGTTAACTCACTTTATAAAAATATATAAATATATAATATATTTTTCTTCTTACAAATAAGTCAATAGAAATAGTTTAGTAATACTAACATAGTATTTATAGTGTTAATACGAAAACGAAAGCTACTTATGTGTTACAATATAATTGCAGATTTTTAAAGGGCAAAAGTGGTTCTCAGGCAATAGAGACTGCAAGATAGACTGGAAATAATCATTTTTAACATGCACATGCCAGTGAACGTAAATCCCCAAGGAGGCTTACACAGAAATTCTATTTTAAATTATTTTTTCCAACTTYTTGTTTTAACCTTCTAGAGTGGAGGAGGCAAACTTGTCACTAGCTGCTGCTTCTTATCTGCTGGCTTGTTCTTGATCAGCAGGACCAGGAAATAAGAGATACATCAATGAAAGCTTGYGAAACCATTTAGAACAATTTCTGTCTATTTTTTGTTTTGTTTTGTTTCCCAGTGCTCATTTATACTACTACTATACTATACTAGAAAAAAAAAAATCCTGAACTCAGATAGGAAGTATTGTTAATTTTTTTTTGATGATGATTTTCAGTGATCAAAATGTCACTGGTCTGTCGTCTAAAAAGTACTGTTTTCAACCATATGCAAAAGTGTAATGGCAAAAATGATGACACTGTTATATATGTAATATTAGCTGTTTAAAGTAAACACTGGTCATTAGTGTTTTGTCAATGTGTATACTTAATGTAAATTCTACTGACTCAGTGCCACTCTCTAAGTATTCTGGGAATACAAGAGTGCAAAAAAACCCACAATCTTCCCAAACCACACAGAACAAAAATGCATCCAATACATATTAAAGCATCATTTGAGTTCCTCAGAAAATAAAATAGTGTAATCATGATTTTGAGTTTAGTGTGGAAACTGTGGAAAAGGAAAAGGCCAAATAGTTTAAGCACTGGAAAACAACACTGAGCTGAATTTAGCTACACAATCTGTTTCCATTGCAGACAATGAAAAATGTGTTTGTGAATCTGAAAGCAGAATTTGGGCCTTAAAGCTGGGAAAAAATGAATGTTAGCTTTCCAACCTTTTGACTTTGCAACGTAAGCGTGCTCCAAGTACAGGGAAGACGCTAGCAAATTAAATATTTCAATGAACCATTGTAATTCTTGAACCTTTAAAATGAGGTATGGTAATTTCTCTAGTAATTCAGCTGAGTTKATTCAGCAATACAGGTGGAAATGTTCTACTAGGATATCCTAGTGCTGTGAAGGTAAGACTTTAGAGAAATCTACTGAGCTGATCTGATGTCCACTGAAATCAGTGAGAGGGTCAGTCTCCGCTGCCTCCCCATAGACATTGGATCAAACTGTCGCTGAGTATTTTTTCATGTACAGCTTTTGTTTTAGATTATGTTTCTTTATGCTTTCTTGCTCTTACTCTTTCATATTCTGCTCAGTGAATTTAATTATCACTAGTTCCAAAGAAAAGGTGAWCTAAACGTAGCAAAAAGAAGTAAAAATAACCTATGGGGTGCCATTTAACACTTGCTTTGTGTGTTGCTAGGATGAAATGCTCCTGCGTGTGGAGGAGGGTGCAGAATGCCTGTGCCTCATTTAAGCCTTACTGAAGGTGTTTTTGGAGGATGTGGGGATAGTAGATGTTTCGCTGGAAGGTCTAAGAGCAGAGATTTCCCATGTAACCAACATCTGACATCAACTGCAGCTTCTTTGCAGCTGGCACTGCCTCGTTTACCTGTGCACAGCACAAAGCCAGGATGRAGCTTTGTTTTCCTGCATGCCACTTGCCATCTTTCCCCCCGTTTTGTACAGCACAACGGTAAAATCACCAAACCTGCAGTCTCTTGCATCCGTAGGGAAGGCAGTGGTGTGGTGGACAGAGATGGACACAGTTCTTTTACAAAGTCTTCACAGCTTCTCAAAAGCTGTGCTACTGCAGTCAGTGTATGCTGCCTCCATCGCTTCCAGGCCGTGGCAAATGTGACTCTTAGATGAAGGAATGGGAAAGACAACAAGACAGGTATGGGTCWTGCGTAGCCTGGGCTGGGATGTGTTATCAGAGCTCCACCATGGAGCAAGCTGCTGGGCAAGATCTCCTTCTGGGTTGCTCCTCCATCCATGCTGATCTTGGCACTTCCCATGGCGGTGGCTATTGCAGCACCTTCCCCMCCTTCCCATTCCTGTGCCAGAGGACTTGCCTGGGTCCCTGCTGGCCTCTTCACCTCCTGCCACTCTTTTTTGGGAAGAGTTGCCTTGAGCTGGTCTTGTAAGGGCAAAGAAGTCACCCCATGGTGTAGTTGCCTCGTGTCTTTGCTCAAACCCTGCAGACGGGGCCTTGCAATGAGATGGATTGTCCCACCAGTGGGGGATGGAAGTGCTCCCCAGTGAGTGTCAGTCTGTGGGCAGCACCTAGGTTTCTTGCTTCAGAGTGGGCTGTTTCACACGGCCTATTTACCATGGTAATTGCACAGATTTTGTTGTCTCCAAGCAGGCAGATCAGCGGCAGCCTGTTGTGCTCCGGGCAGGTCTTTGAAGTGCTGATTCACATCAGTGCTGCAGTTCAGTCTCACCACAGACCTTAACTGCATGGACAGGAGCCAAAGGAGCCTAGGACGACCCACAAGTAAGAAAAGGGGCACTCCTGGATTTTGAGCTGGGAGGGTATAAAAAGCATCTCCCACAGTTTTGGGGGTTTTCAGCCCTACAGAAGGTCTTGATTTTGTAGAAAATAGTCCAAGGATGGTTTGTGTTAGTGCCTAGCCTGTGCCCTGGTGAGGTAATGTCTCTGATAACTTAATTTAGCAAACCAGGCCAGCAAGTCTTGCCTCTCTGGTTGAGCGATTGGCTGTGGGATATGTGTGCCTGTTGCAGGAGCCTYGGTAGTAGAGGTGTATTCCTCCTGTGCTTGGTGGCATCTCTGTTAACTGCAGCTTCCAGCTGGTGCTGACGGCAGATTGCCTGTCAAATCCTGACAGGGCAGCCCCATATAGGCCGCTTCCTGAAGCACTTAAACACATATGGCCAGAATATGATATGCGAGCAGTATCATACTCCAAAAACAGATGTATTTGCTTTGAAGAGCATTTAGCACTATGTATGATCCTATCTTCATCTGTGGGCAGTTGCAAGGAATTGAGTGACTGTAGCTTAATGAGTTGCCTCTGCATGAAGACCCTCCATGCTGCTGGACAAGCGGGAGGAGGACCTCAGGTCTGAACACCTCGTGTTGTCAGGAGGCTAAGACCAATATCTCTGGCTCTGATGACTGGTGGTAGCTCAACTGGTTGCAACCGTCCCTCCAAACCCCTGCTGAAGGTGTCCAAACCTGCTCCACCAGCGGGCTGRAAGCTGGGCATGGTGCTCCCTGGTGATGACCATGGCAGGAGGTGGTGCTGCGAGCTCCTGCAGGCTTTCCCCTAAGCCTGCCTTAGGCCCCTGCCTAAGCCAAGGCTCGGCCACCCCGCCATGGCTCTGATGACCAGCCCCTTTCCCGTGAAATCTGAAGTGCAGTTTGCMGAACACCGTCGTGCTCCTGCCCAACACAGACGGCCTGCAAGGTGGTGGCTGGGTGGCATCTCCTGCGCGGGTGCCCTGCAGGAGGGCGGCTGCTCCTCAACGAATGTGCTCTGGTGCTAAAGCAGAGCTTCTGCCCTGCAGCCAAGGCACTGGTCCTCGTAAAGGGGGTACTGCCTCCAGAAGGACTTGTTTTCCACTCTTGTCTTTCCCTTCCCTCTTCCTCTCACTCACCATTCTTTGATCTGGACACCTCAGCAATTCAGTTCAACTAACTAGCCTAACAGAAAATACATGCAGCCAGAAAGGGTGGAGGGAAGAGAGGTAGAATTTGTCCTTGCCCTTCCTAAGGACGTTGCTGCCCTTAGCGAAGAGGCTGGAGGTGGAGGCCAGCGTGCTGTGAGTGGCGCTGGAACAGGCCTTCCCGGGAGCCTTCCCGGGAGCCGTGACAGAGCCGGCGCTGCCTGCCGGGCCGTAGTGGTGAGCACGGAATGCCACACGGATCCAGCCYGGCTCCGTGCGCTCCGATCTGCCCGGTGTCACGCGGTTTGATGGGAGAAGCCGCAGGCACCTGGACCCACGGCTTCGTCACTGTTTCATTAGTCACTCATGGACCTACTTGTAAAACTGTGGATTCCAATCAGGAAGTTAGTTAGCGTGGAGATCTTTGGTAGCTGGGTGTTACAAACAGTTGCAACTGYTATGTTGTTTTACACATTAAAAAAATGTATTTTTAAGTGCAAGAGAATATCTTATTGTGTTGTATGCTRAATTACAAGGTACCTTAATACACCTTCAGTTACATGAACTCTATGATAGCAGCACCCAGGCCATTGAACACAGGAGGGTCTAACAGGACAAGTTGGTTCCGTAACAGCTGCCCTGTTGCACATTGTGTTTCCTGAGGAACGTCAACGAYCTGGAGTTATTTCGTGTTTGCATTGGAGCAGCTGAGGGGCACTGCTATTCCATTTACAGCGTGGTTGCCTTCTTCCCCTCAAAGACTGTGTAGCAGGTCTTGTGAAGGTCTAGGCTTTGGGCTGCCCTAGCAATTGAAACAGTGTTAGGAAGAACTGAAATTCCTGTTCTTCTCATGCACACCCTTTCTTGTCACAGTGTTTGGATACGTATTTACTGCATTGACCAGCATGACTTGGACCTGTGGAGCATGCAGTGGCTGAGGGAGCCAAGGTTGTTTAGTGTGGAGAAGAAGAGGCTCCGCAGAGACATCATTGCTCTCTACAGCTGCCTGGAGGAGGCTATAGTGAGGCCAGGGTCGGTCTCTTCTCCAGGATAACTACTGATAGGTCAAGAGGAGATGGCCTCAAGTGGCACCGGAGAGGCCCAGGTTAGACATTAGGAAGGATTTCTACATGGATGGACATAGTGTCCAGCCTGGGGACAGGCTGCCCAGGGCAGTGCTGCGGTCACCATCCCCGGCAGTGCCCAAGACACGTGTGGATGAGGCACTTAGGGACATGGTTTAGCAGGATGGTGTTGAGAGACTTATGGTTGGACTYGGTGATCTTGAGGG